ATCCTGGCCTGCTGCCCCTACAGCTGACCACCCAGATCAGACAGGGCTGGCCTGAAGCCTCCATCAGGGCCTAGCCCTCCACCCACTCTGTCACCAGAGTGGCTGGTCAGGGGCAGCTGACCCTCCACTTCCCACATACAAGCTGCTGAGTAAGAACAGGAAGTGTCCAGGTAAAGAGGTTCAACCTGATCCCAGGATGCTTTGCTGTTCCCTCCAGCTTGTATTCTACTCTCTGCTTGATCTCCTGGCTGCTTGACTTAACTCACTCTCTGCCTGATCTCTTGGTTTTCCAATCTGGCTTGTTCTTAACATCCTGCTCTCAGATTGGCTTCCTGACTCAATTTGTCCCTGGATTCTTCTCACTCCTCCTGACCCTGATCAGCATCTTGATCCTCAAGTAAGCCCAGACCTGGCTACCTGAGACTCATGACAGTGGATCTTGGACTGAATCTGCATGCTGCATGTGGCATAGGTGCTGCATGCAGGGCCAGTCTGGCACATGACACATGGGGCTGGTCTGTGGCCCCAATCTAGTGTGAGGATCAGCCCTGCACCACTCATCCAGCCCATGGACCAGCCCCATAGTAATCATCCATCCCACAGGGGTGAGTTTGACACCCATGGTCTACTGCCTTTTTCAGTTTAACTGTTGTATTCAAGGTGGGTGCTACACCACCTGACAGTGCCACAAGTGATGGTCTTGGTTAAGAAATATACCACTCATCTCACACCCATGGCAGGAAAAAAAAAGAAAAAGAAATAAAGGTTCTGTTTGGCTAAGCTTGACCTAAGACACAAATGCTTTCTCTAATCAAGACTATTCCAAGTGAAACCTCTTCCCCAGAATTTCACTTTCTGTTCTGCACGTACCTTGAAACATCCACTGCAGACATTTTCTTCCGAAAAGTGCAAACAATTTTTTTTCTTCCTGAACTCCTTGAAACCTCTTGCAGATAGACTTTGAGATGGTCCTTGACCTTCAGGAGCCATTTCTGCTTGTCTCCCAGCTCTGTGTAAGACTTTGCCTTGTGAGTGAAGAATCTAATGCAGGTCATAGCAGCACGGACATGATCCTAGGACAAACGTGAAAAAAAATCAACTTTGAAAGAAGGGGGAAGGGGGTCATCAGACCAAATCCATGACAATAAGCACAGCAGAAGTGACTAGACAGTGTGTTGTGTCATAATAAGGGGCCACCTTGTTTTTTATACAATCAGAAAATTCCCAGTAGGTTATACTCTTAAAGAGTTAACATAAAAAGACCCTGTTGTATATCAGTAAAGCACAAGGATTTGCCAGCCACAAGGCAACCCTACAATAAGAAAGACATGAAAACAGGAACAAAGTGCTAATATAGGCTCATTTAACACATGAATCACAAAGGTTATATATAAACTGAACACACATGAACCATTTGACCCATCGCAGAAAAGTTGCCACAAGTATGTAGAGCACAGCATTATTACCCAACAGTATGGGGTGAAAAGTATAGGGAGAAACTTGTTCCTATTAAAATCTGAGACCTCTATAATATGTGCCACAGGGAATGGATCACCCATTTCCTAGTGGCTACAATTACAGTTGCAAGAGTCTGGAAGAAACATGACACCCCTAAAAAGTCACTAGCTGTTTTCAAAAAAGTTTGGAAAGTTTTAGTAAAGGAAGAAGTTGTCCTATCAAGTCAGTGCCCTATAGCGGAGAAAGCAAAAAGATGCTTACTTGGAAAACTGGTGAACATTTTTGGAATTTGCCAAGGAGGTCTTCTCCTGTCTCCAAACCCAAAAATGATTTTTTTTTTTTTTTTTTATACTGACAGGCAAATTCTATGAACAAATTTAGAATAAACTTAAGAACACATTTAGAATAAATCTAAAATTTAAAAAGCAGAGATGAGTAGAAGATAATGACATTTGTATTATGCAGAGTTCTATGGAAAAGGAGGGGGTGAGTTATTATTTAGAGATGAAAAACACAAAAGCTTAATACTGACAGAAACATAAAGGAAAATTGAATAGAAGACCATGACTTCTGTGGACACTGATTTGGGTTATGGTAGCACTGCTGATAGAAGATAAATATCTGTATTTATTTTTTTTTTTTTTATATATTATTTGATAAGCTCAGATCATTAACAAATAAAGTTAGAGAAAAGAAATTAGATGAAATTCAGATAAAAATATAACCCGACCAAGACATGTCCATATAATACCCTTCCTTTGGGGGGGCGGGATGGGAGGGCTGTACTCAGTATTTCATTGGTGAGGGAGGTGCCTGTCTACCCTCATCTTACCTTCATAAACTGCTGCAATTCATACAGAATGTGGTAGTAATTTTTCTTCTGCAAGTGTTTGCAGGCTGCAATCAAGTAGATGCCCCAGCTTTCCAGCCCTGGATCAATGGTTTCCAGCAAGTTCTCCAACATGTGCAGTTTTCCACTTTTATAACTTGGGACAAAAATCCCTTCAATGAAGACTTCTGAAGGACACTCCTACAACAGGTGAAAAGAAAGCCTGAGGTCACCAGCTTCAGGAATGGATCTCTTATGAAGTGTGAGAGAACAACAATGACAGAAAGGTTAATATTATGGAAAGAAGATGGTGCCATCCCTGTTAAGGAATACAGTAAACTCTTTTTAAAAAGGGCACTGTTGCAGTACTTAAATCCCCATGTTCAGGGGATTGAATGGCTTTGGAATTTAAGCCGATTACCCAGTGCAAGTCATAAAACCCAATATGCACAGAAATATTTTTATAAAATTATTCAGTGAAGACAAAGTAACATGTTAATATACATCTCCCTCTGCTGAACTGCAATCATAGTTCCAAACATATCACTGGTTGCATCAGGTTTCACTGGGCTGCTGTTTTAAGTCTCGATACCCAAGCTTCAGTACTAGGTTTTCACCTTGAGTTGTTTTGAAGCACTTTAAACCTGTAGTTGGTAGAATGACTGCCTCTCATCAGCGACCTCTCAAAGAGTGTTCTGTTCAAAGAGAATTTACTTCTAAGACAACAGAAGGAAAGATGCAGTCTAAAGGCAAATCTGAACAAGCAGCTGAAAATATGGGCTGAGAACAGGCATCCTCAATTACAGCTAATTAGACCACACTGGTGAAAGCAGAGCTGATAAGGCCACCTGGTTGTCATATCTGCTTGCATACCACTCCTCACCCCAATAAGATAAACCCTCTGCACTGCAGTAGGAGGGAGAAACAACCTGTGGCTACTCTGTTAAACCCCTTGTTGCTCGCTGTCTGTGGACAATTCCTCCTTTAGCATCAATGCATGTGGCAGCAGGTTCTGCCTGAGCAGCAGCTTGACAGTGTCCCCTTTGACCAAGTGAAATGGGAGTGTGTGTGGGGTGGGGGCTAGGAAAGAGAAAGTAATCTTGTGTATATGCTGGAGGGACACCCTCAAGTGCAGTGAGCATGCAGGATTCCTACTGTCCACAGCTTGGAGCTAGGGCCCTGTGCAGCACAGGCAGCCTTATTTTCTTTTTTCCCTGGCAAAAGCTGCTATTCCTGTACAGTATTTCCTTGCTTAACATATGTATTAAAATTTCCAACAGCTGGTTTGTGGGGAAAAAGTGGGGTGTGTGTATGTGTGGTATGTGGGAAAATATGGTAATTATTTATTATTAAACTAATTAAAAGATGGAAGATAATAGAATTGAGTATTTTAAGGAATGTTCTCTCTAAGACTTGTGAGTTCCAGAAAGGTCAATAAACAAAAAGTACAATCCCAAAACACCTCAGAGATTTTTACTTTTTCAGCAGCTTTTAAGCTGCTGAGAAGTTCTGGATTTGTATTTCTGGAGACCAAAATCTGTATTGTTCCCCTCCCCTCAATCACCCTTTCCCTATTCCTAAAGAGGACTGAAGAAGCAAAAGTCTTTTCTGAGTCATTTGCAAAAATAGTATCTCCTTGCTCCACCAGTGCTCATCTTTTTGTGCATTCTGAAGCCCTCCAATCTCAGGGAAGTTTCTGTACAGTCATAAATAGAAAGCATTACTTTCACCAGATTCACCTAAATCTACACCAGTGTTTCCCAACCTTTTCCAGCCCAAGGCACACTTACATTAACAAAAATTTTTGACGACATACCTGTTAAAGCATTCCCCACCCTCACACCTATTGTAGCTCATTGCCATGGCAAAATTCTGCGGCACACCTGTTCATTTCTGATGGCACATTTTTGTGCCACAGCGCACTAGTTGGAAAACAGTGGGCTAGTCTGCTACAGCTGCTGGGTTCCTAATTTACAGATACAAGAACAGAGTCCTGTTCTTGATAAACCACATTCTGATTAAACAAGCTCTTGGCCATGGCAATAGACAGAGAAGGCCACTTTGATGATAGCTGAGGGTTCTTTGCATGTCAGAGACCAAAAAGACACTTCCAACTGGACTGCATAATAGCCAGCCTGGGATTTTGGCTATGAGAACAAAGGCCTGGGAGTCCTGATGTGAGCACAATGAATGACACAGGGCAGTACAGATCAGTTCTCTGCCCTACCTATTTCTCCTTTGGTATAGCAATGGGGTGATATTACAAGGTTCTTCATTTTCATAAATTAACCCTGTACCAGAGGTCAGTTTTCTGGAATCAACTTGTGGTGTTGCTACTAGTCAAAACACAATTTACAACCTCAATAGGAATAGAGGAGTTTAGGATTCTGTAGAGTTGGCACAGATGTTGCACAATCCTGGTTGCCATTTTGAATGATCTCTGAAGAACTCCTGGCTGCTTATTAAGCTTTCATTTGAGTCCCGTTTCTCTTTTTGGGGTTTTTTGTTGTTCTCCCGCCCTGGCGGGGGGTCGGGCTAGAAGATCTACTAGGTCCCTTCCGACCCTTAATCTATGAATCTATGAATTTAGATGACAGAAGAGAATCTAATCATTCACCTATTCCATTACTCACCTTATTTAACAAATGTAGTAGTGCTTCTCGCATGCAGTCATGTCTCATGTAAAAGCTTATAATTCCTAGGTTGGTGCCATAATTGTGTAAATAAAACAAACACTCCTGATAGTAGCTGTTGTGTTGAATCTTCCCTTCAGAAACCATCTCCAGAGACAGACTTCGCGTCCTTAGTGTTGCTTCCAACTCTCTCAGGGTGGCAAAGTAGTCATCATCCTGCTGTTAAGAAGGAGAATAAGCCATATAGAAATTTCCAAGGAGGATAAAACAAAAAGGGGTGCTGTGTAGGGTTAATCCTCTCTACAGCCTATGTCTTTCATCCAACCTCCTCTCTTCTTTTACAGGTGGAATGAAACTCCATCCAAACTGCCCAGACAAATGATTTGACCAATTAACAATAAAAGGTACTTATGCAAGGTTGTAGATATATGCTTCTGTTCTCCAGAATGGACAGAAGTGTATTTTAAGTTTTCACAGCTGATATGCAGCACAGTGGACATTCAAACATGCATTCAATTTCTAGATATGCCATCTGCTTATAAATTTCAGCACCAGCATTGGAAAAGGATTTCTTGGGATATTGGCTGACAAATTCAAAGCATTACTAGGGGTCTGAATAATTTTGGTACCTACATATAGCTTACAGCAAACCCGAATCACATGTATTCTAAATAAAGAAAGTCCCAGAGGGGAAATACAGAGATTTCTAGCTCCTCTGTGGGATGCAGCCAGTGTAGCATCTCCATCAGTTGCAGCATTTGTGGTGCAAAACCTAGCACTACCTATTCCGATGCATGTCAAAGAGAAAAAAAATTCCATGACACTCCTCCAGCATTTACTTCTATAAAAATACTCCAGATATATCTTCCTTGAAAGCCTGCACCAAATCCCGAGCACTTTGACAGTTTTGGTAGTCTTTTGAGGGTGGAGAGAAGAGAGAGTAGAATACCAGGCTCTTACCACAAACAATATGGGTTTCACTGTGGACTCCAAATACTGAATCACATCTTGGACCGGCCTCGAGCCATGATTCAGCTGGTTCAGGTCAAGAGGTGGTTTTAGGCATCGGCTAAATTTCTCTCTTGCTGCACTTAAGGTCCCAGCTTTAAGGCAAGCCATGCCCCAGGCATGCCATGCTCCACTGGGATCCAGCCCCGTCTTTGTAGAAACCTAAACCCAAACCACTGATTAGTAGTACATGACAAATATAGCACAAGGTTCCCAGGCTAGATCCATGACATTCTACTGCCCAAAGAAGAAAGATGTCACTTATTGCAAAACACATACACACATCTACTAATTCCCAATTAGCAACTATTTACCAATTACTGCAGTTCTAACAAATTCTGAATTTGGAAAGATCTTTCTACTGCAGATGTAATGAAAGGCTTTAAAAATCTACCAGAAATCAAGGAAAGATTAGTAAAAAAAAAAAATTTAAATTCATGAAGGTAAAATTTTCTCCTTTAGCAGAGATTTTTTTGTGTTTTATTACTGGATGGATATTTAGTCTAAATGGAAAGTTTTAGTTTCTATTGTAAATAACTATTGATTCTTAACAGCAAAATTGAGTTCCATGCAATTTCACTGGTTGAAACACAGTCCAAAGGATCTTTAGTGGAAAGGTTTACGTGCAGACTGTTTTCGATTAACAGTTCACTTATTGCTGCTATGTATTCCCTCCTCCCATAAATCCTAATCTTATTGGTGATATCATTATTTTTAATAAAAATGAACTGCGATTATTTCCAGAATAATGAACATAAAAGAAAGGCTTATGAAATCATGGGAATTGAGAGGATGCAGAGAAAGGGTATGCCACAACCTAATAAGCTCATAAAGCTTTACCTTAATAGTTGTCTCACAAGTGAAAAGAAGTCAAAGTTCTCTTAGCAGGGACTCAGGATGTCATTATGCTCAAATGGAAATCACAGGAGCACAGAAGGTGCAGATAAGAAAGATCTATTTACTGGAAGTCCTTGCTTTCCTACCGGATGCAGGATTCCTCTGTATGTTGAATTCTTGGGTTTTGCATCCATTCTAGTTTTAAATGTGGGCACACATGGACCATTTTGCTTTAACAGTTCATCTGTTGCTGCCACTTGTTCCCTGCCCTCTCAGAAGTCCTAATCTTGTTTGTGGCTTTATAATCTTCTCCATAATGATGAACTGTGATGCCACAAAAAAGGCCTAAGAAATCATGGGGCCTGGGAGGAGGCAGACAGAATTATCCACATCCAAGGAGCTCATGGATTCATAGATTGTGAGGCTGGAAGGGAGCTCGAAAGCTCATTGGGTCCAGCCCCCTTGCACCAAGCAGGAAAAATAACTGGGGGTCAGGTGACCCCAGCAAGGTGACTGTCCAGTTTCCTCTTGAAGATTCCCTGGGTAGGCAATTGCACCACCTCTGGAGGGAGCTTATTCCACAGTCTGGACACCCTGACTATGAAGAGGTTTTTCCTAATGTTGCACCTGAATCAATCTTGCAGGAGTTTGTAGCCTGTACTCCAGGTTCTCCCCTTGGGTGCCCTGGTGAACAGTTGCTCGCTGAGCTCTTGAGGTACTCCCCTAGTGTAGCAGTGAGCTGCTACCAGGTCACCTCTCAGCCTTTTCTTTAGGCTGAAGAGTCCCAGATCCCTCAGCCTTTCTTTGTATGGCTTGCCTTTTAAGACTGATCATATGGGTGGTTCTTTGGATTCTCTCAAACTTGTCCACACCTTTGTTAAAGTGTGGTGCCCAGAACTGGATGCAGTACTCCAGCTGTGGTCTCACCAGTGCTGAGTAGAGTGGAAGAATCACCTCCTTGGCTTTGCTGGAGATGCACTAATTGATGCATGCCAGAGTATTTTTTGCCCTACTGGCTACAGCATTGAACTGCCAGCTCATATTCATACTGTGGTCTATTATTACCCCCAGGTCCCTTTCATTCATAGTGCTAGTCAGTTTGGTGCAGCCAAGCCTGTAGGTGTGTTGGGGGTTGCTCATCCCAAGGTGGAGGATTTTACATTTCTCAATCTGCCCACTTGTCTAGGTCCGCCTGTAACTGTAGCTTATCTTCAAGCATGACCACGCTCCCCCATAACTTGGTGTCATCTGCAGGCTTGGCCAGTGAGCTCTTCACCCCCACATCCAAATTATTAATAAAGATGTTGAAAAGTACTGGACTGAGCACTGACCCTTGCAGGACACGGCTGTCCACTTCTCACCAGGATGAGACAGATCTGTTCACTACGACTCTCCTGGTTCTATCCTGCAGCCAGTTTCTCACCCACCTGACTGCCTTGGAGTTAAGCCCACAATCCTCCAATTTTCTCACAAGGATATTGTGAGATACTAGATCAAAGGCCTTTTGGAAGTCAAGGTATACAATGTCAACCTCCTCTGTCATGTCCAGGTGGCAGGTTACCTGGTCATAGGAGACCAAGTTGGTAAGGCAAGACCTGCCCACAACAAAGCCACGCTGGCTGTCAGTCACAATCTTACCTTCCACAAGCTTATCACAGATAGACTCCTTGATGAACTTTTCTAATATTTGCCCTAAGATGGAAGTTAAACTGATTGGCCTATAGTTACCTGGGTCCTCCCTCCTGCCCTTCTTGTGGATGGGCACAACACTGGCCCTCTTTAAGTCCTCAGAGACTTTTCCAAAGTGCCATGAGTTGTGGAAGAGTT